GGATTAGTAGATAATTTAGATGGTAATAAATTGGAGTTCGCGTGCTATTATTTTTCTAATAAAAAAAATTATAGAATCATAGATGCATCGTTTGACTAGAACTCCAGTGAATGCAAAGATCGTTGTTAAGTCGGTTAAGTCAGAAAATCAGGGAATTTTTCAATTTTACCGATCAATGGAATCAATGGATTATTCGTTAAAATTTCAAGTTCCATCGATTGGCAAAATTTTTGACTTCTTATCGTATATAAGCTACCATTTTCCTTTTTCATTACCAAAAACTCACCGTTTAGAGAAAATACGAAAAAAAGAATATAAAAAACGTTGAAACGCGAGTATGATTAACGACGATTAACGACCGAGTAACATAAAGTGTATTTTTATTTTCTAATTAACAATTAGTAAGCAAAATATAAATAAATTAATCGATAATCAGAAATTATATATTGAATATCATATAGCAATTAACGATCGATTTAATGTTCATCAGCGAAATTTATGATTTTGGTATGGAAACAGAAAATCCGAATGTTATAAACGAAATTACGTATTTACGCGTGGAATCGTTCGGCACTATGCAATAAAATCCAAGTCAAATATTACAACAATTTTTTAATATTCCTCGATTTCTTCAATCGAATGACTCGTAATGTTATACGGTATATAACATTAAGAGTAAAATAGAAAAATAGAAAAAAATTTGTTTTTAAATCTTTAATCTTGTTCTATCTCGTGGCAAAATAGGTTTACATATCCATTGTGTTTTTCAATGTAAAAGAAAATTGTAACAAAAGTGTGTAAAAGTTCTTTGATGGTCGATCGTTCTCTGATTTAACGTTTCAATGAGTGAAAAAAAAATCTCATGTTCTCTACAGGGACGTTGGTTTGAACGTCATAGCGTCGAAGCGTCGAAACGCGTCCGAATACTATGAACAAGTATCGCGGCAAATCGCGCTTTTAGAAAAAAAGGTAGAAAATTCGATGATAAAACGAGCAGAAAAATACAAAAAAAAAAAGGGGGAAATAAAAAGGAAAAATGAAAAAACGAATGAACGAAGCAAAAAAGGCATGCAACTGTAATGAAAGTTGTTCTCCCGGAACGTTGTATTCCCGTAACGGATCTTTCCGGTCGACGTGACCCATGCTTCGTCGTTTCAACGTTCTTCTATCCTTTCCTTTTCAAGCCGACATAGCCCATCAACGTGTGAGTCCCCTCTATAGGATTGACAGAACCAATTAGTGGTTCCGTCGATTTTTCGCCGTTTCTGAGGGGAAGCAACAATACCGTGGAGAAAGGTAGCGGACCGGTAAAAAAGGAAAATAATAAAAAAAAAAAAAATAAGAAAGAAAAAAAATGTAAAGTAACCGTAAAAGCGCGCGATTGAAAAGGGACAAGAAAATCGATATAGAGGATAATGAAAATTGATAGAGAAGCGAGATAATGTTGCCTAAATTTTCGTGTACAAAATATGCCTAATATATAATGGGATTTTGTGCCCCATTTCCAAAAATATCGATTCCGAATGTTAAATATAGAAATTAATAATTATATTTAATCCAATCACAAAAGTTGATAAAGTGAATAAAATAGTCGTTTATATAATAATTTTTTTTTATATATATATATTCTCTCATAAATATTTTTATGCGTTATACGTAATGGATTGTTTTGTTATAACGCAATGATCATTTTTTTATAAAATTATTATTATTATTATAAATTATCATTTTTTTTATAAAATTTTAAACTTTAATACAACAGATAAAAGAGATAAGAAAACATGGACGATTTAAAGTTCTTAAGATTATTTATTAATAAATTATGCAAAAAAGATAATATATCGGATATCGGGGCATTTCGCAGAACAAATAAGAAGAGGAAATGAGAGAAGAATAAAGAAATCAATGCCATCTCTGAAGTGTTAAGAAAATCTCTTCAAAGATTGATTAAATAAAATAAGAATAGAATATTAGCGGTATGTTTTGAATTTCAAAGACATATTTCCAAAAGAATTTAAAAAAAATTCAAATTTATATATATTTATATTGTGTTTATTGGCTTGTAATAAAAAATACAATTTTAATTTATGAATAATTCAATTTATATTTGAATCTATCTGTTATTAATAGCAATTAATTATGAATACAATACGATAAATACATATAATGCATGGCAATATTTATAAAAGGAATTATTTTTAAAATCTATTGATTTTATTTATCAATTTTTGTGATTGAAATTAAATATAATTCCAGTATATTTAAGCAATTCTTTTTATTGATTTGTAAAAAAAATTTTATCCGATAAAAGATAAAAATACACATGTAATGTAAAAATATATGGAATATATAAAAATATGTATATGTGTAATATTTGCATATTTTTTATCACTCTGAAGAAGCCTTATTATTTTATCTTTTTATCTATTTAAATCATCAGCTAAATACATTTTACAAATAATGTTTAAGCATTTCATTCGTTATGATTCTGAAATGAAATTATTTTTCTTGCCGCTTTCATACCGCTATTTTCTTGTAATTACATTAGTGTACTATAACAATTCTTATAACGTAATTTTTTCAACCGAATTCGTCATGTTCATTTATCGGCGATGAATTATGATTAAAGATCATTAACTTAACAAGAGCGTAAAAGGCGTAAAATTATTCTCTTATAATTTTATTATTACTTATTATGGTATATATAAATATAAATGTTTGTTAATACTTACAAATATTTATAATTAGAATAAATGATATAGAATAAAATGATGTAATCTCTTCAAAATTTTCAAATTCATTTAGCAAGTACAATTAGATTATACATACATGAAGAATTTCAAAATTATAATTATTTCAAAATTGTATACATAAAATACAAAAAACAGTTTTTCTATTTCTATTTATGTTTTGTTCAAAATTTTAACAGTTAAATATAATCGATACATTATACTTAATATCTTATGTATGTATGATACATAATAATACATATAACACATATAATATTTTTAATTGCTCCTACTCAATCTGAAACATAATAATAATAAATGAATATTTATTGTAAAAATGTATATGATTTATTCTAATATAAAAATAATCTTAATCACATAATGCATGAAATAAGTTAAAAAACAATATTTATATATAATTTATATAAATAATACATTTAAATAAACATTTTCTTACACATGTATAACATATATATTTTTGAAATAAATCTATTTCTTGAAAAAAATATTTTCTAATTATTATTCCTTATAACCTATTCTTTGTTTATTCTTGTGCAAATAACATTTAAATTATACTTTATCCAATGCATTAAATCCTTTGATCCTGGGAGAATTTATTCATATTATATCCATAAGATACAAGAAATGAAATAGTTTCGACCATCAATGCCATCTCGCGTTTGGATCACCGAAACACCGACTTGTTACTAGCATAGCAGAATATGAAAGGAGGTATACTCATCCGCGTGACGTCACAGACAAGGAACGCAACATTGTGCAAAAAGGACAGAAACATTTTCCCGCCAATTCGAATACATCATATTGACAATAGATTAATTATTCATTTTCTAGTCAAAATTTAGGCACTTTTAAGATTGCATGAAAGTTGAAATTCCAACTAAATATCTCGTATCAATTTTAATATAAAAATTCTTAATTATCGTAAAGAGAAAAATATAAAATAGATACATATATTGAATTCCATGATTCATATTAAATAAAATGATGTAATAATGTTTTTTTTTTAAAATATGACATCTGAAAAGATAAGAATACAAATAAATATAAAAGATAAGTAAAAATAAAATATATATATTATGTAATATATATGATACCTCAAAGAGTTGAGTTTGTAAAAAGAATATATAAAACAGATATCAAATTATCAAAATTACATAATTAAGTAGTAAATGATGAAATGATGAAAAAATGTTCTTTTTCTTGAAGTTTGATACCTGCAAAAATAAGTATGTAAAGAAGTATATACATAAGGTATAAAAGATAAATAAAATATGAAAGATAAATAAATTCAAAGAAAAATTTAATATATTACTTCTTTATTCTGTTGATGCAAAATTCTCAAGATATTCGAAAATTTTAAGATTTCAAGAAAAATTTTAC